ACATTAACTTCATTTGCTGAGATCTTACCACTGGGGTTGGGTCCTATGTCCACAACTGCCGGCTGGGAGAGGATCTGCCTGAGTTTGTCCTGATGAGAGAGCAGAGCCCGTCCTGCCTTTAAAATATAGAGCCTCAGCTGCTGGCATCGCAGCAAATGGATGTCCACCTGGTCCGCTGGAGACATATTATATTTGATTTAATTCACCTGACTAGAACACTAAATCAAAGCATCCTCCACAGCTGAAATTCTTTTGTCGCAATCATATTTGTCAAGAAGGAATGAGAACAAGTGATTTATTATAGGAACAAAGCCCTGCATACTGCCAAGGCACCTGACCAGTACTTAGTCTACATAGAATGAGTAATATTTTATTTTGTATGACATTTATGACTCAAATATGTGTTGTGTCTCTCAGACGTTTGTGTACCTGTAAGCCCTCGACTAAGGGACTTCTTCATGCGCTGTTTCTCCAGTTTGCTTCCAGCCAGGCTGACCAGCTGTGCCCACACTGACAACATGGGCTCGGTGAATGGCAGGTTCTGCACACTGAAGGATACTGCAGCCAGCTGAGGAAAACAACCATCAAATAATCAGTATTTCCCTGTCTAATGGGTTTGTTGAGTAAAAACAGTACTAATGTATAAGTACACGAAGAAGCATCTAAATAGTTTCATACCGGTTTGAGGTGGCTGAGCAAGCAAACCCTACAGGTCCTCATTTCATGAAACTGGACAGTGATGCGACCTTTAGGGGTGATGCGTGTGACTGTTCCTTCTCCGTACTCCTCATGAATGACCTGGCCACCTAGTCTGAGGCGCCCGTCAATACCTCCGATCACTGCCAGCACTGCCATCAGACTGCCCACTCTAGGACCCTCCGAGTCAGGAAAATACTCCTCCAGGAAACACTGAAATAGGGATAAGGGGAGATTTACACTCACAATTATCAAAATGGCTTTATAAAAGAAATCAGAATCAAAGTATTGCTGACAGCCGACATTTTAACACAGACACTAACTGAAATCCATAATACTGCAACAAGTCTTACTGCTTCAGACTGGCAGCCTGCCATGACATCTCCAATGGAGCTCAGCTGAGTGTTAATATAATCATTTATCAGGCTGTTCCACTGGCCAAGAGAGTGCAGAATACGCAGCACAGCAACAATCTCCTCCGCCAGGGTGCTGCTGTGAGTGGCTGTAAGAGACGCCTGAGGGCGGGACTTCCTCCTTCGCAAGGAACCCTCTGAATGGAGGAAGGAGCAACTTTAAAAAACATTTTACAGAAAAAATAATCCGATTTTCACTTAAAGCCTGATTTGTAAATGCACCTCTGAGAAGTGGCAGATCTGATGAGCAGGTGCTCAGTAGACTTCCCAAGAAGCTGAACAACTTGTCCACCAGGAACTTCATGTCCTGAGAACGCTCCGTCTTGTCCCATGAGGGCAGGACTGCCTGCAGGAGACGTAGTGCCAGAATCTGGAGACATGCAAGGTGTACAAACACAGGGTGTTACCTCCACAGAGCTATAGTTTGTGAAAGCAACTGTTCTCCTTTCTGCACTATGACAAAAGCACACAAAACGGTGCAGCGGTGTGTTTCACTGACGTGTTTGTAATCCTTTTTGAACAACTGAGGTCTACAGTACAGATGAAAGAGCTAATCCAGGACTAACACACTGACAGAC